AGTTTATATCGCTCCTTAGCCATTCTGTCTTTATTATTAGTTTTGTATTTTTCTGTTATCGTGTCATCAGGTTGAGCGTCTTGTTGCCCTTTTGTTGTTTTTCTTTAAATAAACCACAAACTCTAGGTTTGTTTTTGGGTCCTTCCCTAGTCAGAAACTTAACTGGGACATTTTTAGTGTCAAAAGGAACCACAGACGGAAAGAGATTCTGCTCTGAGCAGTAGTAGTAAAAGATGGGCCATTTCAACCAGTGTTCAAGCTGTTCATATGGTCTGAAAGGTTCAAGACTGTTTTAGTTCAGTTTATACAAGTCAGCTGGTAATACAACACTTATTTTTTTAAACCAGCACTAAAGTCAGTCAGATGGTGAAGATACACTGTGAAAAGCCCGGGTAGGATTATTTTAAGACTTTTTTTCTCTCAGATAAATAAACTCAACTAAGTGGGATGTGTGTTGTTATTGTGTTATAATTTTGTATCACCTGGACATTTTCAGTCCATATGCTTTTATTTACAAAGCAGTTTGAACTACTTTTTCTTAGTAACTTTAATTTGCCAAACTACATCTCTAGAGTATTCTTCCAGTCTGATGTTATTGATAGTTTGTAAAGTAGTTTCTGCAACACTGGGTTTCGCGCCTGCTATCAGCTTGAAGGAGTTAATATGTAGCCTGTGTCTTGTCAGAATATAATCTGTAAACACCCGATTAAGACCTAATGTTGATACGCTGCTAGCACGGCAGCTTGGCCTGAATAAAAATAATTTTGTAGAGCATCAAATCAGTGTGTGGGTCACAATCTAATCTTTATATTCTTCATAAACAACAAATTATCTGTAGATTTTTAAACATCACAAAAATATTTGAAAAATCCACGGAAGAAATGTAAATGAAATGAAATGTACCAACAGCTACCAGAGAGAAATATGGAGACTGACTTCTCTTTGATTCTACAAGACCAGAACGGTGGACCTTCAAAGCAAATAACCCCCAGGAGGAAACATCATAATAACCAATATTAGTGAGCAAACTGGGACCAGAGCAGGGCTGTTACTCTGGAAACAGAGAAAAATATTTTGTAAATTAATTGTTCAGTGTGTCAGCACCTGTTCATGACTACACAAAGCTTGCTCTCAGCCTGCATTAACAACAAATAGTGATTAAAAATAGCTACTCACTGTAGCTGTTTAGTAAAACCGTTTTCAGAGACAAGCAAATAATGTTCTGGTCTGAACTGAGAGAAGTAGCAGAAGCTGCAGAAAGAACACCCTGGCTGGTCATAATGTTTTGGCTCTGTATATTCACCTGGTGCATTCTTTTTTTCTATATTTATTAAGTTTTTGATTTATCATATGAGGCGCTTATCTATATTTTAACCAAACAGGATGGACCATTATCACTAAATTACAGAGAGTGGTTGTGGTCTATTACTGTTCAAAAGTGGTAAAAGTTTAAGAATTGCTTACATTTCTGCTGTAATAGCATTTTTGATAAAATATAAAAAATGTGCCTTTGTAAAGATGTCAGAAGTCTCACAGTCCTTTGTCACTGCAGAAGTGATACCCTGCAAGTTGTCGTGTCTGCTGAGGAGTGCGAGCGTCACCATGCAACTGAATGGTCTCTGGTTTGACCACTACAGTCTGTCTCTGTGGGTGCCATGCTGGTAGGCAGTGTGTAAAGGCCATCTGGAGTGGAGATTGAAAACTTCCACACGGTACCAGGCCTCAGAGCAGCTATCTGTTCTTGACGTTTTCCTCCAGTCAGACAACCTGGTGCCGCTCTCCACCAACATACCTGTTCACTCAGCTGCTCTGTGTTAAAATCTGTTCTCCGGTCGAGATGTGTTTCCCCCTGGTAAAACTGTGCATCTAGTAGGCCCCCCTCTGCAGCTATGGTTAGGATAAGGTTAGGAGAAACATCTCAAGGCAACAACGCTCTCTGCCTGCTGGAGGGCGGAAACAGAGAGGGAAGACGTCACACTGGAAATGTGCTTTCTGGAACTTGTTCAGGTCCATGAGCGTAATCTGATGCTCAAAAGCAGCCGTTGTCACCCTGATAGACACACTGTGTGATAGACAGCACCGATGGTCAACACGTCTTGGAAATGCTTCTCAGGGCACCAACGGTGAGAGGAATCTTTACTGAAGTAACCAGTAAGGCGGGCAAATGCATGAGTGAACATGTGCTGTACATAGCAGCAAATCAAAGGCAAGTCCCATAAGTGTTGTGATGAAAACAATCACCAAGACCAACAGTGACTCCTAGGTCACTGTGATGCTGCTTTGTATAATGTTTAAATGTTTGCACCGAAAATATGAGCAAATGCCAGAACATCCTGTGATTTTTCTCCTTTCAAACATGAAAAATTATAAAGAGATAATTTCGACGAACCTTTTGATCATAATGCTTTAAAACACCGAGTCATCTCATTTTCTCCTGCTCTGCATCATTCATCTGTCGCTCAATGCTTCCCTCTCGTGGTACTGACTCTGGATTATTAATGCTACACTATGAGCACTTTCCTGTACAGGATACAGCACTAGCAAAAGCAAATGTTATTCTTGTTATTGTTGATAAACTATTAAGAAACCTTTGTTTCCGGTAACAATGTTTGATTACCCTGTTAACTAGCAAACAAAAGCAAAACCAACCTTGTTGTCAGAGCTCAGGCCTAAAGAATCCCTCCAGCAGGATGAAACTGGGTTTTGGATGAAATAGGATGAAACTGGCCAATATAGAGCTGGTTAGTTTTTCCTCACAGTCACTTTCGTACATTTCTCAGAACAAAAATGAAATTCACTAAACTGCTTTTTTTTAATCCTCCACATCATCCAGTTACCTGTGCACATCATCTAAATAGTTTTTCAATGTTCTGGTCAAACTCTGGCATATTCATGTAAATTATTGTTTACAATCGTCTGTTTTCTACATTATCAGTTGCTCATGTTGATCAAAAATGTATTCTATGGTTCTCTGCTGAATAGTCTGACCTCCCAAAACAACCAGTCATTAGTTCAATGCAGATGGCATTACATGCAAACTAGCTGTCTTTAGCATCCCTCGGGCATAGTTCTGTACAATTCTATCTGGCTTTCTTTAAATGTATCTAAACTTCTCTCGGGTGAATCTCGACTTTCACTGATGAAGGGGAATGTGTGAAGCATTAGACCAACCAACGATCAACCAGTTCTCTACCGTAAAACAGCTCAGAGGTTTGCATATATCATGAACCTTCAATATAGGCAGAGCAGGACACAGCGTTATAACTTCAGATATTGGAAAAACAAGGAAGTGAACAGTATCAACTATGGGGAAGAAGAAGAGTGCGTGGTAGACAGTTAGGCCGGCAAAACAGAGGAAGGGGGAGAAAAGGCCAAGGGCTTGGGCATGTTCCCGATGAAATGAGGGCCACAGTTGTGGCCCATATTGTCAGCCATGGCCTTACAATGGCTGAGGGTGGCTTGATACAGTAATGTGAACCTTTGTACTGCTGAAACTGCAATAGGCCATAGAGAACAAGTTTAGCCTTTTGCATTTCCAATCAGTCATCAAACATGATCCATAACTGACATATGAAAACACGGTGTACACTGTTGTATTGACAACATGACTAAGCATTTTGTCTGTCATGCTCATACACAATGACACCGAGTTGTCACTGATGCCATAAGTATTTACTTTTGAGAGCTAAACTCAGGATTCTGAGCCAGTGATGCACTTTTACAGGTGATGCATTGTACAGACTGTTGGGATAAATGCACTTGCTGTTTTATAAATATCACGGATGATTCTAGAAAGGGACTGAGGAAAAGTGTAAAAATAACTCCAGGATACATTCATGATCCTTGAGCTGTTTGCTATAGTGCTCCAATGACTCAAACAATAGTTCTCACATTTACAATGAGAATGAAGCCACACTTCAGTGTTTTCCTAAAACAAATGAAAAAGTGAATGAAACACTTTCTGTTGTGCCTGGACTGCAGTAACATGCAAAACATACAACTCCATCAAAAGATACATCACAATGGTAGTTTTCAAAATACATTACCATCAATATTATTTTATTATCAAAATGCAGTACATCTCTTGCTTCAGAAGTCTTTCGTAGGGGAACAACTGACAGATACTCATATGACCTGTGTAAAAATAAAACAAAGCCAACACGATGATCTGAACAAAAGAAAAAGAGAACGCAGCATCTGTTGATTTTTTTGGAGGAACCCAGGAAAAGACCCAATGATTATCTCCTAACCATCTGACAAACCCTAAAAACATAGATCATGCGATAAATTCTGTGTACTATATTTTCTCCATATGTCTATATCACATTTCTTTCTATACAAGTAAACATATAAATTTATTGTCCTACTGTGTCTTGTAGGTTGTATCTCTTTCATTTTAAGGTGCTGGTTAATTTTGGGTTACAACTTTTTTTTAGAATCTGTCAAACACTGATGTAACATGAGTACCCTTCTGTGTGGTTGTGGGCTTCGGGGGGGGAGGAGGCGGTCGGTGCAGTGGCAGGTGGGATCAAGTCGCATGACCGAACCCTTGGTCCTTAGAAGTCTTCCAAACCAACGCAGTGGTTTTCCATATCCGGTCCAAAATAATAGTCTCAGAGGAGAAAGGTTCCCGCTGCTGCCCAGCTGTCAGCTTAACATTGGTTTGAGGTCCCATTGTGGCGGCAGGGGATCCATCTCTTACAAGTCAGTTTGCATTTTAATGAAAAATCTAATACAGTGTTCTGTGGGAAAGGATGCAGTTCTCACAGGAGAATACAGCAGCTTTTATACAATCCAAACACTCCCTCATAGATCATTTCCCTGGTTTTCTTCAGTGTCAGAGGAAACGCAAGAAAGAAATCCTGCAGAATATAAAGTCAAATCTATGTATTTAGCTTTGAAATAAAGTCAAGTTACTTTGCTCCTGCATTCCAACACTATAATAAATGATCAGTATGAATCTGGAGAAAAATAAAACAAATTTACACTGACACGATGAATGCACCCATATTTGGGGAACTTAACGATTTCAAATTTATTTGCGGAGGGAACAAAAACAAGAATGCAGCACCATGGATCATAAGACCTGTATGTCTCAAGTACAATGTCAGAAGTCTACAGTGAAGTAGTCCTAAAGTGAAATCAAACCAGTCCAGTGGGGATGAGAGAAGTGCAGAGAACAACAGAACACTGGAACAGACAGAGAAACCTGAAGAAACCAAGGGCCAGTCTCATGTTTACTGAGAGAACACAGAAGGTGGCAATCATATGGAATGATCCTATCCAGGGAGAGCCCCTCCTCCCTGCCTCTACAATGCATCTTTGTAACGGATGATTAACGCGTCACCTTGGCTTGCATTATTTGCTCTTTCAAATCAAACACCCGCTTTACTGCAGCTCAAACTCGGCCACTCGCCAAATCAAAAAAGTAACGCTGACAAAACATTTTAAAAATATATAACAACTTACTTTCAGTTACATATGCATCTGAGCATCTATCCAACTTGGAAACCATGACAACAGGTACAGCTTTTTATAACTTTGTACAGACATTTGTGCGAAAGTTTTTACTTTCCGATGTTACAGTCTGTTTGCACAGTCCGGCACATGAGGAAAACACTGAGGACAATTTCAAGTTACATGTGAATTCTTGTTTTTTTGTTCCTGAATGTGTCATCCAAACTGTTTTTTTCCACTGATTCCATAAAAATGTCCAAAGTCAGTGATCAGCTTTGTGTAGAATGTGGTCAGTTTTTTTAACCTAAAAATGAAGAAAAGAAAAGAAAAAAAAAGACCGAAAATAAGAAAAGAAGAAATCCGTAAAGAAGTCCTCGCTCCTCCTAAGTCTGTACATTTCCCCTCCCCAGACTCACTGAGGCCCTGTTCACTGGAGCTTTAGAGGCCGAGGAGGTATGCACCTTCATACACACTCACACGCACACATAAACACACACTGGAACAAGGTCCTAAAAGCTTCCTGACTGTGTCCTTACTCCGGGTCCCTGGAGGGGGGAGTGCTGGAACTGACTGAGGCCTGTCCCTCGCTGTGGGTAGTGTGTTGGTCCAGAGGCCGATAGCAGCCTGGAGCTGGCCTGCAGCGCCGCCTGTCCCGGGCTGCCTGGCTTCAGGCTGCGAGACGCCTGCTGCTGACTCCCTCTGGAGGTCTGGGTGCCCAAGTCTACCTTAGTCTGCCCATGGGCCTTAGACACCGGGCTAGAAGCCCCTGCCAAGCCACCACTCTTCAAAAGACTTGCCTTTAAGTGACAGCTGCCATAACCTCTGTCCACATTACTGCTGTCACTGTGCTGGTGTGGAGACCCCACTGGTGGCCTGGAGTCTGAGGATGAGGTGGGCGTGTGACTTGGGTGTGAGGATGGAGAGTGGTCCTGGGACAGTCCCGAGTGCGAGGAGGAAAGGCGCGGGTAGAAGCTCTGGCCTGATGAGGGACTGTAGGAACCCCGGAATGGAGAACTGGAGGTCTGCTGGCGGAATGATGGGCTTTCTGATGGCTGAACACACACAAATACACAATTGTAAGGCTATGTCATGTGGAAAAGAACTGAGTGAAAGACTGATTACAAAAGTGTTGGTGCCATCAAACAAATCAAGATGGCATCTGCAGGTGCTAACTACTGAGGAGTTTCACTGATCAACTGAATGAATAATGATCTTGTGTTTGTGGGACTAAAACAATGTGGGTATTCAAAATAGTGCTAAATTAGTGCTTTCAAAGCTTTAATAAGGAAGTGATGTTGCTACCTACCAGCCAGCTGCATATGCAGGACTTTCAGAAAAATTTCCAACTCTGAATTAACATTTTAGTGTTTTAGGTATGAAAATGCTCATTTGTTCTGTATGACTTAAGTGCAACACTGACCACATCAAATCCAAATATACATGCTTCATTCAAGATCATCCAAACCACCAGCAATGTCATCAAGGCTCTGCACTGGCTACCTGGTATGAGTACACAGAGGGACTGTATCTGTGTGGACTCTTCATGGGGGAAGCCATGGAAGCTGCCTGCAACTCATATCGATCCAAATCTGAAAACACAGGAAGATGGATCAACTCCAGCACTGAAAAAAAATGTGTTAGCATAGCGAAGTAAAACTACATGATATATTAATGTATGTTTACTTATATCTATAGTTATTCTTATACAGTGGGGCAAATAAGTATTTGATACACTGCCGATTTTCAAGTTTTCCCACTTACAGAGAATGGGCAGATCTGTAATTTTCATCATACTGTAGGTACACTTCAACTGTGAGAGACAGAATCTACAAAAAAAATTCCAGAAAATCACATTGTTAGATTTTTAAATAATTTATTTCCATTTTATTGCATGAAATAAGTATTCGATCACCTACCAACCAGCAAGAATTCTGGCTCTCACAGACCTGTTAGTTTGTCTTTAAGAAGCCCTCCTATCCTCCACTCATTGCCTGTATTAATTGCACCTGTTTGAACTCGTTACTTGTATAAAAGACACCTGTCCACACACACAATCTATCAGACTCCAACTTCTCCACTATGGGCAGGGCCAAAGAGCTGTCTAAGGACACTAGGGACAAAATTGTAGACCTGCACAAGGCTGGGATGGGCTACAGGACAATAAGCAAACAGCTTGGTGAGAAGGCAACAACTGTTGGCGCAATTATTAGAAAATGGAAGAAATTCAAGATGATTGTCAGTCTCCCTCAGCCTGGGGCTCCATGCAAGATCTCACCTTGTGGAGTATCAATGATCCTGAGACTTACTAGGCCACTCTAGGACCTTGAATGCTTCTTACGGAGCCACTCCTTAGTTGCCCTGGCTGTGTGTTTGGGGTCACTGTCATGCTGGAAGACCTAGCCACGACCCATCTTCAATGCTCTTACTGAGGGAAGGAGGTTGTTGCCCAAAATCTCGTGACACATGGCCCCATCCATCCTCTCCTCAATATGGTGCAGTCGTCCTGTCCCCTTTGCAGAAAAGCACCCCCAAAGCATGATGTTTCCACCCCGATGCTTCACGGTTGGGATTGTACTCATTCTTCTTCTTCCTCCAAACACGGCAAGTGGAGTTTATACCAAAAAGTTCTATTTTGGTCTCATCTGACCACATGACCTTCTCCCATGCCTCCTCTGGATCATCCAGATGGCAACCTTCAGACGGGCCTGGACATGTGATGACTTGAGCAGGGGGACTTTGCGTGCGCTGCAGGATTTTAAGCCATGAGGGTGTAGTGTGTCACTAATGGTAACCGTTGAGACTCTCTTCAGGTCATTGCCCAGGTCCTCCCGTGTAGTTCTAGGCTGATCCCTCACCAGTCTCCAGACCTTAACCCAATAGAAAATCTATGGAGGGAGCTGAAAAATCAGTGTTGCCCAGCGACAGCCCCAAAACCTGAAAGATCTGGAGAAGACCTGTATGGAGGAGTGGGCCAAAATCCCTGCTGCAGTGTGTGCAAACCTGGTCAAGAGCTACAGGAAACATCTGACCTCTGTAATTGTAAACAAAGGTTTCGGTACCAAATATTAAGTTCTATTTTTCTATTGTATCAAATACTTATTTCATGCAATAAAATGGAAATAAATTATTTAAAAATCTAACTGCGATTTTCTGGAATTTTTTTTGTTGATTCTGTCTCTCACAGTTGAGGTGTACTTACGATGAAAATGATAGAACTTTCCATTCTTTATAAGTGGGAAAACTTGAAAAATCGGCAGTGTATCAAATACTTATTTGCCCCACTGTAACTTTGTCAACGCAGTTTAGGCTGGGATCCTGATGTTTCTAATGTCTTCGTACCAGATTCCTTGTCTGTGGAGGTGTCACTCCTCTTGTAAACCCTATCCATCTTGATACTTCTCCGCACTCGCTCCAGAACCTGGCCTTCCCTCAGAAGTTCAACTGTAGTGGGTACCATCCTTGGAAAACACAACAAAGCCAGAGGTTATCTGCCAGTCAACTCCAATCAGCAACAAGGCCTGAACAATATCAGACGGCTTTTAAAACATGACTTCAGAGCTCCAGGGTTATGTGCCATGAATAGGAACATGTCTTAAATGTAGAAAATCATCACTCTTGGTCTCTCACCACTGATTGTTACTGTCCTGGCGTCTGGACTGCACTGATAGGCTCGGGTGCTCTGGAGGACTGACCTCCTCTATCTGGGGCACAGAGGTGGTGTGTGCTGAGGAAGAGAAGTTGCTGTGCGGGGAGGCCGAAGGCAGCACCTGTTGATGGGACTGGGGATGATGGGAGTCCTGGTTGTAGTGGGAGCCAGGCCGGATGGGGGTGCTGCCCGTGGGCTCCAAATCACGACCACTACCTTGCTTCCTCTTACGGTATTCCAGCAAAGACACCTGAGGCAGCAGAGGGAGGAGAGGTGTTAGAAAATACCTGCTGCTGAAGGACCGACACAGTCTGATGTGCAAGTTTAACATACAACCACATGTCATTCACAGAAATGCTGGGCCACTGACTCAATCACATCATTCACCAAAACTGCACTGAGTGATGGGCAGACCACATGCACCACACCAGAGAGGACTCACCCAGAAACAGTATTTAACACTGTTCAACAACAAAAAGAAAAACACCTTCATCACCACAAACATTACCTCGACACGAAAATGACACTGTATGCATTTTGGTTTTGTTCCATTCCATTAACATATTGTAGTCATGAGAAAGGCTCAAACACAGCATACTGTACATCACTGTGTGTTCTGAATGCACTGTTAGTACCATACAGCATCTAAAGCTTTGATGAAAGAGCAGGCAACCAGGCACCACACCATGATGCAACCACACTGAAACAACAATATTAACACTCATATCAATGTCACAGAAGGGTTGAGCACACACACACACACAAAAAACATATACACTCACTCTTTACAATGAGAATGAGAACGTTCATCCCAGCTTAATGTCGTCATAACACAGAAAAAGGTACATGAAGGAGGCAGGGGAAGGGATGATGACCACATGGTCAGATACCGACATGGACGGCTCTTGACTGAATCGTAATAGAACTTTTATAACTTTTTTGTAATTGTATACATGAGAGACTACTGAAGGCCTTAAATGCAAAAGGGCTGTAAGTGGTTGTATGACATTATCACTAAGCACCAAATATCAAAGCTGTATTCAGTGGACACAATAAAATGACCCTTTTTACAGGTACAGTTTACATACCTCAAATATTTAGTATAAAATCTTATTTGATTATAAAATCTTATTTGATTGCCAATACGGTTTTAGGTCGAAAAGATCGACATCCTTGGCCATTACTGACCTGATGGAGGACATTACAAGTGCTATGGATGAGAAAAAATATACGATGGGGATATTTATTGACCTAAAAAAAGCATTTGATAAAATTAATCATGAACTATTATTGGATAAGTTAGAAAAATATGGGATCAGAGGAATGGTTTGGAAATGGATCAGAAGTTATCTGACACAGAGGCGTCAATTTGTGAAGTTGGGTGAATACCAATCGAGTGAGCTTGATATTGTATGTGGAGTGCCTCAGGGCTCTGTTTTGGGACCTAAATTATTTATACTATACATTAATGATATATGTAAGGTTTCTGAAATTGTCAAAGTGGTTTTGTTTGCTGATGATACTACCATTTGGGCATCAGATGAAAACTTACAGCAACTCTCTGTAAGGGTTTCAGAGGAATTTGGGAAGATAAAGAAATGGTGTGATAATAATTTACTATCTTTGAATTTAGAGAAAACTAAATATATGGTATTTGGGAACCGTAGACCACATAATGAACTTCAAGTGAGAATTGGGGGTGCCAACATTGAACGAGTATATGAAATTAAATTTCTGGGGGTAATGGTTGATGACAGATTATCCTGGAAATCTCATATTAGACATGTTCAGCATAAAATAGCTAAAAATATATCGATATTGGCAAGGGTTAGATATATGCTGGACGTTAAAGCATTGCGCATTTTGTATTCTTCATTGATTTTGCCATATTTGGAGTATGGCGTTGAAAACTGGGGAAATACATACAGGAGTTCACTTCAACCATTGTACATATTACAGAAGAGAGCGATAAGAGTTGTGCACAAAATGGGGTATAGGGATCACACAAATGCAGTTTTCATACAGTCCAAATTGTTAAAATT